GAAGGGAGGGGGAGGGGTTAGTGGTTAGAACAGGGGGGGCTGGAAGCCAGGACTCCTGGGTTCTCTCCTTGGCTCAGGGAGGGGAGTGGGGGTTAGTGGTTGGGGGCTGGGAGTCAGGACTCCTGGGTTCTCTCCTTGGCTCAGGGAGGGGAATGGGGGTTAGTGGTTGGGGGCTGGGAGTCAGGACTCCTGGGTTCTCTCCCCAGTTCTAGGAGGGGAGGGGGATTTAGGGACAGGTGACAGCCTGGGCCGGGGGGAGGTTGTTGTGCTCGATAGATGGGAAAACCGAGCGGCCGAAATCCCGTGTTTCCGGCGTCCCATCCACCGATTTGTTTTTCACCAGCCCCCTGCACGGCCGGGGGTTGGAGGCAGACGTGGGGCCCAGAATGGCGGGGCCAGGCCCCGGCGGGTGATACACAAGGGCCGGGGCGTCGCCAGTCCGGCCAAGAGCCAGGATCGGCGCGAAGTGGGACCGTGCAAACCGTGTGCATCGTGCAGTTGTGAACGTGTCCTCGTGCTCTCGGTCACAAGTACCCCAGGGTGTGTTCAGTGTGATCTCCATCCGCCCCGTCCGCTAGCAGCGTGGCTGGGCCATGCCTGGATTGTGCTGGTTGGTTTGGGAAGTGAAGTGAAACTCGAATCCAAGGATGCGTTCACACTACACCCGGGAAACCAGTCTGAGCCCAGAAACCAATGAACCCAAATTGGGGTGTCACAGGTTAGGCCTGATCGGTGGACAAAGCACAGAGAGGATGTGGAGGGGTCTTCCACACATGGGATCCCCCCCAATCTAGGCCCCTGGGGTGCCGGGTTTGGCTGCAGAGTGAATTGCGCGTGCAAATCGTGCGGCGCCGTCCTGAAACAGGCTGCAATCACAAATAAGGTATTTGAAAGGTTAACTGGAGGGGGGGCTCCTTGCCTGGGAGCCATTGGGCCTAGGGCCGGCCCTGTCTAGTGGGTTAGGGCAGGGGGGGCTGGGAGCCAGGACTCCTGGGTTCTCTCCCGGCGCTGGGAGGGGGCTGAGTGATAGGGGCCCCAATCCGGGCAGGACTGACTGGCACTAGTGTCATGCAGCAGCTGTGGGGTTAATCCTTTCTTTGCGCTGGGGGGCTGGGCTCCAGCTGTGAGCCAGCCCCTAGGGGGACGGGTGGGGAACTTCCCCTGCCCCATTGCTGCCCTGAAGGGGGCTCCCTGCCCCACCCGCTGGAGCAGCACGAGCCAGGATGCCGGGGTTGATGGGCCCCTGAGTGTGACCCATGGGACTGAGAATAGAAACGGCAGGAGGTTCTGGCTCATGTCCCCCTCAGCTCCACCAGCTGGGGGCACTGCCAGGGGGAAGCTCGCAGCACCTGTCCTGTCCCCCACCCCCCACAGAAGACCCGACCAGCTCCATCCTTAGAGTTTATTTTATGTATTTTACACACAACCCCTCACCCTGGTATCAAAACAGTCATGGTAGAAAAGAATCTTAAATACAGAGACCCCGGTTGGGGGCGAGACAGGGATTGGGGGGGGGGGACCACGACGGATGGGGGCAGACGGATGGATGGGGGGTGACGATCACTGAGTAAATACAAAAGAGAGATAAAAAAAATCAGAGTCCAGAGGCACCAACAGCCAAGGCCCTGTGTGTGTGGGGGGGGGACCCCTCCCCCTGGCTGACCCCACCCCGTTCTGATCCAGGGGGCACAGCCACTAGCCGGGGTGGGGGACACCCCAGAGACAGTACATGGCAGAAAGTCAGTGCATGGGGGGGCAGCATGGGGGGCCCCCAGTGGGGGAGAGGTATGCCGGGAGGGGGGGGCACAGAACAGGGATGGGAATGAGAAGAGGTTGAAATTATGTTTCCCCCAAATTCATTACATCATCAGTCCCTTCCTATTAGCCCCGCCCCACCGGTGACATCATACACCCAACCCCCAACTCCATTACATAAGTCCCCTCCTATTAGCCCCGCCCCATCAGTGACATCATACACCCAACCCCCTGCTCCATTACATCATCAGTCCCTTCCAATTAGCCCCGCCCCACCGGTGACATCACATACTCCCCAATCATTTCAAGTCCCACCCCCCTCCCCCCAGTTCATCAGCACATGCATCTGCTCCAAGCCCCCCAGGGATGCTCCTGGCTCTGGTGCGCCTGCCCCCCGGGTTCAAAGGGCCAGTTGCAGTGGAGATCCCAGCCTAAGGATGGGTGCCGGGGGGGGGGGGGGGG